TCACATTTCTTTTCAAGTGTTCAGAGTAAGAAAGGTGTTTTACTCCCATTTTTTATTTTGAAAAATTTCAAATTTACAGAATTGCAAGAACAATACAATGAATACCCAGGCACCATGGGTTCAACAACTGCTCTCATCTTACTACCTTTGCATGGCCTTCTGCCCTCCTTCTCCCCTTGACCCCACCTTGGTTGAATCTTTTGGATCTTCTCCTTCTCCTTCTTTTTTATTTTTTATTTTTTATTTTTTTTATTTTGAGACAGAGTCTTGCTCTGTCCCAGGCAGGAATGTAGTGGTGCAATCATGGCTTACTGCAGCCTCCACCTCCCAGGCCCAAGTAATTATCTGCCTCAGCTTCCCACATAACTGGCACTACAGATGCTCACCACCATGCCCGGCTAATTTTTTTTTTTTTTTAGAGAGAGGGTCTCACCATTTTGCCTAGGCTGGTCTCGAAACCCTGAGCTCAAGCAATCCTCCCACCTCAGCCTCCCCAAGTGCTGGGATTACAGGCATGAGCCACCACGCCCAGCAGGGTAAATTTTTTAAAGGTTGCAGAGATGATGAATATCAGTCCGAAATATTTTGACATGTACCTTCTAAAAGCAAGGACACGCTCTTACTTGACCATGTATAATTATCGCACGCAAGAATCTTACCCTTGATACAAGATTATTATCTCATACACACCCCAGATGCAAATTTCCCCAAGTATCCTCAAACCTGTCCTTGATTGCTGTTTAAAATTTTCTTCCACCTAGGATTGAGGATTGTGTTTAGTTGTTGAGTTTCTTTAATCCTTTTAACCGAGAGTGGTTACCCGCTTTTGTAGTCCTTTCTGGCCCTGCCATTTGTCGATGGGACCATGTGGCTTTCACTCACCAGAAAACTCACGCACAGTAAAATGAGCTTGAACTGAGTTTTAGAAAAGACATTTTTTTTTTTTTGGTCCCACAAAAGAGAATCTCCAGAAGCCGGATTGCGATGGATTTTTAGGAGGTGGCGCTGACTTTATGTAACCCAAGGGCTCCTCCCAAGCAGCTTCTGGAAGCCTGGGACTCCTCTGCCACGCCATCCCTTTCCCTAAAACCAAGGCACCTCGTGACCGCAGAAAAGAAATGTTTGCAGGATATTGAAATGAATGAATGGGAAATCGTGAGAGAAGAAACAAAACTCCTTTCACTTGTCCCCTCTTTGGGTTCTCTGCTGTGCCTCAAAAGCGGAAGTGGCCTGCTGCCAGTTTCAAAGTCTTCCTCTTGTTCAAGACAACCCTCTAAACACACGCCCAGCACAAATAGCTTTCTGACGAATTCCCTGACGCTCACGCCACACCTCGGGCAGAAGGACAGCTGCAGCAGGAAAACAAGGACGAGGCAATTTGTTCAACAGCTCTGGGGGAAAAACATGCACATTTCTAGCCACCTAAGAGGCATAGGTTTGATTTGCTGCAAACCTCAGCAAGTTTCCCTAGAGAAAATTTCTTGCTCCCCGAGCAGTTTCAAAGACATTTTTGTTTCCCAACAGATCGTGTTCTTGACAGATTGCAAAGCTATGGGAAATAGTTTTAATCGACGCGGCGCAGTTTATCCTGTTTCCTTGCTTTTACAGATTTTTGAAGGCTCCATTCCTGCCGTGCAATGCCCAGGGGTATCCACAAGGTGTCAGCACCTTCATGATAAGCAGGGAGGACCGGGCGGTCTTTTTCTTTTTCCTTTTATCGTTGTAGTTCCCTGGTTGGCCTCAAGATGACGCCAACACCCATGGAGTCCGCCCAGCCGCTCCAGGTGCAGCGGCCACGGGCCGGGAGGAGCGCAGCGCGGTGGGGGTGGAAGGCGAATTAAATACCTTTCGTCTTTATCGCCGCTTATTATTCCAGGAACACGCGAGGCCCTCTGGGACCCGATTCCGCATTCGGCTCACTGACTTGTGAGGTCAAGAAGGGGGAAAGTCAGCCAGAAAGTAGCAACCCCCCATCCAAAATACTTCGGCAGGTTAAAGAAAAGCTCGGAAATACGGTTTTTGCAAAGTCCGGGTGTGTGGAAGGCGTTGTTTTAATAACCTGAACAAACATCTTTCCCGGAGTCCCTCTGAGCAGGGAAGAAACCTAATTCCAGGGGCAAAGGGAAGTGTCTCTCTCACCTTTTCAGTCTTGATTATACGAATTTCTTTCCTCTCCCCTTTTCATTTCTCTGGGGCAGGGGAGGATGGTTAATATATTGGGCGACTCGATTCAGGCGGGTTTTTTTGTTTGTTTCCCCAGATGACATTGGTTTAAACCTGGACATCCTTGTAAATACAAACGCAGGCAGCAACTGCCATTTTGGAATTTATTTTTTCATAGTCCTTAGCTATTTTAGGTTTTGCTGTGATAAAGCTGTTTCTCTTTCTCTCTCTCTCTCTCTCACACACACACATACACACACACACAAACACACACACACCTCGTAAAAGCAGAGTAAATAATATTCCTCCAGGAAGCCTACAGGCTGAGGAGTGTTTCTTCATCAATAGTTTGCATTTCCAGTAAAATCGTGACACGAACTCAGTGTGCCTGTCGTACGCTGCAGGAGAAGGGCACTTTTTACTGGAGTCCTTTTTTTTTTTTTTTTTAAGCTAGATGCGGAAATACTAGCGGTATTAAAAAATAATAAAGTCATGGTGGGAGTTTAGGGTTGGGGCAGAAAGCTCAAATCATTTGCCTCTGAGCTGAGAACTGGGCAGCTTTATTTCACTTTGTTTCAAAGAAAGAAGAAAAAGCATCAGGTTAGAAAAAAAGCCCAGAATACCCATAAAAACAATGTTTCTAGAAGTGGAATATTCAAGGCAAAGGAACCTGATTTGTAGCTTCCCTTTGGCTTTGAATTGATCAGGAGACAAAGATAATGCATATACATTTTTGTCTTCTGTTCTTTTCTTTGACATGACTAGCACACCCCGATTGCCTTCCAGTCACCTCCCCGAAGCGAAGAGGCCTGGTGGGTTCTCTTATCCTTTTGCTGAGAATCGAATACGCAGCGGATGAACAGCCAGGAAGGGACAAGGAAACCCGAAATACAAATGCTCTGTCTGAAGCGCTCTTCACTGCCCAACCAGACAAGCAAATTCCAAAATTCTGCCCGTATTTAGCCCTTTTAAAGGAGTGTCTCACTCCTTCAGGGGAAGTGGGAAAAGGGGATCTAATTATTGAGGTGTGGAAGAAATAAACAATCAGTCCACAAATAAACAAACTGTCCGGGATTCCTAGAGGGAAGGAGAAATCCTTGAAGGAGATCCAAGTCGCTCCAGGTCTGCCTCCCGAATAATATTATCCCCAAGAGATCTTGAACCGTTTGCAATCAATCGCTCACCCAGTCTCCCCACGGAGCGCGCTCCCCAACTCAGCCTACCCAAACCCAACAAAACAAAAAAAGGCTAAAATATAGAAAATCAACTTGGAGACTCCCAGGGGGACGTTGCCAGGAGCAGGAGGCAGGGACAGCGCCCTGGGGTCGGTGTTAGCGGCCGGCGCCGGCCTGGGCCGGGGAAAGCGTCCACGCTTGGTGCCCGCGGCGCGCGGCGCTCATTGCGCGCGTCTTCGAGCGAAGCCCCCGCGGAAAGCAGGCTCGGGTTTCTCCTTGCAGGGCCCAGGAACTCGGCTCTGCCTGGCCCCCGTGGGTCGCTGCATTGTCCCGGTCTTCTGGGAGCGCGGGGTCAGCTTGTTAGAGGGAATTTCTATCTGGGAAAAGGGAGAGGAGCTTCGAAGCTGAAGTCGGTGGGCTGCGAGTGTCCACGCGGGAGACGAAAGGGGGAAATAGCAGAGTCACTTCACCCTTTTCCCCAAACCCCACAAAACTGCTCGCAGTGAAGCGGATGATTTACCGAATTCACAGCGAATTCAGAGGATTAGATTGTCAGCACGTTGCTACCTTCCCCTCTATCCACCCCGCGGCCTGGCTCCTCGGCGGGGGGCGAGAGAAACTTAGTTTCTAGGGTTTGCCTCTAAAACCTTGATAGGTTATCCTTGACGACCCCGAGCCTGGAAACTCCCTGCTGATGATTAATTATTTGATTAAATAAGTATAACATCCAGGGGAGGCCCTGCCATTCCAAACCAGCGCGTTTGCTTCGAATCCATTACACCTGGGCCCCCATAATTAGGAAATCTAATTATTCGCTTCATCACTCATTAATAAGAAAAATGTCCCAGGATCATTGCTACTTACAAGGTCTTTGGGGGAGATATTTTACTCCATTAATCCATTCTATTTTATATTTCAAAGTGATTTTTTTTTAACAGAGGAAAGTGGCTATTTTTTGTTCTGGGCATGTGGGTCCATTCACCAAAATGTGATCATAAAATAAATTTTAATAAGATATAACTTTTTAAAAAGTCTTTTCAAGTGAAGACGGAGTCGCAGCGGAGGCATAGGCGGCCGGGTCTTAGAGCCGACGGATTCCTGCGCTCCTCGCCCTGATTGGCGTCGACTCCCTTCAGCTGCCGGGTGATTGGCTCAAAGTTCCGGGAGGGGGCGTGGCCCGAGGAAAGTAAAAACTCGCTTTCAGCAAGAAGACTTTTGAAACTTTTCCCAATCCCTAAAAGGGACTTGGCCTCTTTTTCCGGGCTCGGCGGGGCCGCCGCTCGGACCCCGGCGCGCTGACCCTCGGGGCTGCCGATTCGCTGGGGGCTTGGAGAGCCTCCTGCGCCCCTCGTCGCGGGGGCCGAGGGTCCACCTGGGTCCCCCGGCCGCGGCATCTCCGCTGAGTCCGCGGCTGCCCGACTGCCCGCGCTGCCGCCGCCGGGTCCTGGAGCCAACGAGGAGCGGGGCCGGCGCTGCGCTCGCCCGGGGCGCGCCCTCCAGGATGCCGATCTGCCCGGTCCGCTGAAAGCGCGCGCCCCTGCTCGGCTCAAGCGCCGCCGCCCGCGCCCCCTCGCCCAGGAGGCTGCCAGGAGCCCGGGGCCGCCCCTCCCGCTCCCCTCCTCTCCCCCTCTGGCTCTCTCGCGCTCTCTCGCTCTCGGGGCCCCCCTCGCTCCCCCGGCCGCAGTCCGTGCGCGCGGGCGCCGGCGAGCCGTCTCGGAAGCAGCATGCAGGCGCGCTACTCCGTGTCCGACCCCAACGCCCTGGGAGTGGTGCCCTACCTGAGCGAGCAGAACTACTACCGGGCTGCGGGCAGCTACGGCGGCATGGCCAGCCCCATGGGCGTCTACTCGGGCCACCCGGAGCAGTACAGCGCGGGGATGGGCCGCTCCTACGCACCCTACCACCACCACCAGCCCGCGGCGCCTAAGGACCTGGTGAAGCCGCCCTACAGCTACATCGCGCTCATCACCATGGCCATCCAGAACGCGCCCGAGAAGAAGATCACCCTGAACGGCATCTACCAGTTCATCATGGACCGCTTCCCTTTCTACCGGGAGAACAAGCAGGGCTGGCAGAACAGCATCCGCCACAACCTGTCGCTCAACGAGTGCTTCGTCAAGGTGCCCCGCGACGACAAGAAGCCCGGCAAGGGCAGCTACTGGACCCTGGACCCGGACTCCTACAACATGTTCGAGAACGGCAGCTTCCTGCGGCGCCGG